AAGAATAACACTCGCGGTTATCGAGACTACAATTACTGTCAGCGAAGGCGACAACATGCAATCGGTCAGGCACAGACACCAGCAGCTACCCCCCTTAGACAGTATGTCTGTTGCCTCGCCGAATAATTCTCTTCTCTCTCCTATTCCCAGTACACCCATGAGGGTTTCCCGCCAACAATGGCGTCCTTTCCACCGAGCAATCGTCAACATTGGCGGTCACCAGTATGTGAAAGCAATGCTGGCTACAGTCCCTATTGGAATCATCACCGCGATCCTAGGTGGACCACCTCAAGCGGTGTTTTTCCTGAATCTTACGGCATTGATACCACTTATCACTCTGCTTACGATCTCCATTGCCGATTTGTCTATAGCGACTGGGCGCGTAGTCGATGAATTGCTCAAAGCGACCGTTGGTAATGCAATTGAACTGATCCTTGGAATTGTGGCCATTAGCAGAGGCCACATGCACATGATACACTCGACCCTGATAGGAAGCATGCTCTGCTACATGCTTTTGGTAAGTGTTGTCTCACTCTTATTACAGCAAAGATCATATTCATATCGGTACTAAGATGCTCCAGGTTCCGGGGAGTTGTTTCTGTCTCACTGGTTACGGTAAAGAACATCTCTATTTTGATCGCACCCTAATCAGTATTATGTCTTCCCTCATGGTAGTGGTATGCATGTCTCTTTTGGTTCCAACGATTATGGTCACGTTTCCCTCCTTGGATACCACTTCTCCCCAAGCTTCGGTGACTCGACTTGAGATTGTCTTTGTTTCACGTGGGGCAGCAATTGTGCTTTTCATTTTGCTTGGGGTGTTCCTTCTCTTCCAACTGAAGAGTCATGCGTCAATCTTTCATCTTGCCGAAGCGTCCAGCGAGGGCTCTCTAGACAGTCACGGTCCGAACGATCGTGGCATCGCACAGGACCGGCCAGCGAGAATTTTCGCACCACGAAGCGCTATGGTCGCTCTTGCGGTTGGGATATCCTGCTTGACCATGTGCATTATATGTATCGTTGAGAGCACCGATAGAGTTGCACAAGAGCTTGGCCTTAGCGCGGCATTTCCCACCCTCGTACTAGTTCCGCTTATTGGAAACTCCGCCAGATATGCTTCAATTGTCATGGTCTCACGCCAGGGGCATGCGGAATCTGCGGTGCGGGCCATCATCAACAGCATACTGCGTATTGCTCTCCTTGTTATTCCCGTTCTGATTATCTTGGGATGGGTATTAAACCTACCCATGACACTGCAGATGGATACGTTTGAGGCAACCATGTTGTTCTTGGCTACAATGGTGTTGATTCATGTGATACAGGATGGGAGGAGTAATTACTTCGAAGGACTAATGCTTGTCGGAACGTAAGTCAAGCCTTTAACTTATCTATTCTACGATTCGCTAACCAAAGTTTCTGTCGCATAGGTATATCATATCTGTTGCTGCTTTCTATATGCGGCCTGGAATAACCGACACCACGAAGCCTATGCCTTAATCGAAAGTCTGCTATATAGAACACAGGCATGGAAAGGAGCCTTGTGATGTATATTGCTCATGTCTTCACATTCACCAATGGATCAACATGGTATAGCGATGTTTTGATTAAGTAGTAAATCTAGCTCCTCAGCGGACCCAAAATGCAAGCGAGAGTATCACGTACCTAGGCCAATATGTCAGTCACAAATCACTGATAAACCACGAAACACAAAATGGAAAAGAACGTACAGCCCAATCAGCATACTTCCATGAAGATAAGTATACTTAGCATCCTTCAGAACCTGGTTGACGACTAGAATAGCGAAGAACAGGACCAACGTATGGAATGTCTCAAAAAAGAGCGTCATGGGCACCCCAATCAGCCACCCGAACATGACCAGGAAGGGGATGGCAAAGAGTCCGATCTGCAAGATACTGCTGACGATGACGCTGATGGCAAAGTTCACATCACCACCTCCGAACGAAGCGGCAATCACTGCCACACCTTCGGGGCAATTGCTAGTGATGGGGATGAGAGTGGTTGCAATGAAAGTCTTGGAAATTCCAGTCGTGGCCGATGTAGCGGGGACACTGGCAAGGAAGAAGTGGGTACAGATGACGATTGAAATACCAGAAGCAACAAGGGTGAGGACAGTTTTTGATAGGCCCGCCTTCTCCTTATTTTCATCATGACCACTTTGGTCTTCCAGGGGACTGTTCGGTTCTTGTTGAAATAGATGTCTGTGCGTTCCCAATTGGAAGTAGAGATACCCGACATATAGCACCAGAAGTACGGCGGATGTTCCACGGGAGAAGCTAAGAACTTGATCTTCCAAGTCCACCGAGGTAAAGGTTGCATATAAAACGGAGGGCAGAATCAACCCCACGGCTGTGACAACCATCAATGAGGACAAGGAACCCGTCTGGGCCATATTGAAATATAGTATGTGCTTGCTATAGGAGGCTGAGATCAGACAGCCGCCCATAATCTATACCATGGTTGTCAGCCACAATAAATCGTCTAAAAGACCCCAGAACAGACAAAACAATAATGAAAAAGGACCAACCAAAAGAATATCTGACAAGATACTCCCAATCATAACCGACTGAGCAAAATAAGTATCTCCACTGGCTACGGCCAGAATTCCAGTCTACAAGTAAGGTTAATTAACATGCTGCCAATCTGTGTTGCCAAAATAGACAGACCAAAAATATAAGATAGGGAAACATACGCTCAACTCGACCGCATTTCCAAAGGTCGCATTAATCAATCCCCCGACCAAATCGCCAAAATAGTCCGATAATGTGTCTGAAGCGTCCGACACAATAGCGGAAAGCGGTAAAATCGCCAAAAAGTTAAAGACGGAAACAAGCACCGAGTTCCAGTTGAGAAGCGCTGCAATAACCCCGAGGGGAAGGAATAACAGCAGGCTGTTAACTGTGATCATAGCGTATTTCACCGTTGTTAGTGGCATGCGAATAGAGCTGCGATGAGGATTCTTATTTCTTTGCTGAGTATGTGGTGACGGATGTTAAAGGGGTTATTCCTTCGATAATTAATCGCACTGCCGCAATTCATAGGTTGGGATTCCGGGGCCAGGTGGTTGTGTGTTCGATAACATGAAAAACAATGAATGATATCTGGGGGCCGCGCAGAGTAGGCCGTGAGGGATAAATACCTTGGAGCTGTTCGACATGGTAATTACAATACCGTACCGGGCTGGTTGTCTGTATTGAAATGATCAACAAGTCGACCCTCGGCCATGATACTATTTTTGTACATATTGCCATATCCATTGTTTAGGCTGGGTTCCCTGTTGGAGAGTTTGTGGGTATCATACAGCTAAGATAAGGAATCCGTCACAACCCTCACTATTCTCTGTAAAGCAATATACGAAAGCTAACTATGCTGTTCCTTTTGTACTCTAGTAATCAATCAACCATAAGATATAACTATCATCTATATATATAACTACCGTTATTTGAGTGGGCTATAGCTTGGCCTTTCGCTGGAGTACCTTTGGCATCTGAATAACCTCAAACCAATCTTCACCATACACAAGATGATCACGCTGGGTCATTGACGATCGTTTCTTGTTCCACACAAGCTCCGACTCCCTATACTTTTCCATCTCCTGAACCAGCCAGGCTGCACAATAAGTGGCTGTCTGATCCACATCCTCAAATGGGAAAAGATGGCCGCGTTCGGGTAGGATAACTTCCTTGACCTGACCATGGGAGATGCCACCACTCCCCCCGACCCCGACACCGCACATCCTGACGGCGTCGCGAAGGTTGTCAATGCCAAGAAATGTCTTCTCTCCCAGGATCCATAGCACAGGGGGCCTCAAGCTGTGAATCTTTGAGAATGTGTTGCGAGACTCAGGGCGATAGACAATTCTGTCGGCGTGGATAGGATCCATATCCGGATGAGCAGAGCGATCAACCTGAGGGTTCCCGCCAGACGTGCGAGCTGAGAAATTAGAACGGTATAGGCCTGCAACTTCCTGATACTTGGTTGTGGTGAGAGTCACCGGCGGCTCGGAACGATTCGCGCCCTTTGGGACCGTGGGATACAGTGCGGTGGGGAGGTCACGGAAACCGAACTTGACCATCAAGTCGAAGCAGCGAGGGTCCCAGTGCCGCCATGCCTTTGCATGAGCCGATGCTGCAGCTTTTCTGTTTGGCCAAATGTCGGGTCGCCAAAGAGCATAATTAACTGCGCCGGGTGGGTCAATCCCGACACCCCGACCGACCGCTCTTGGAAAGATGGAGGGATCGAGAAAGACAAGGGTCGTAAATAGGCGCGGGTGCATGAGTGCAAGGTTGGCACTGAGTAGCGACGCTGACTATCAGCTATTGTGATTGATAAGATGACAAAGAGAGGAGCCCGTACAGGATATTCCCACCAAAACTATGACCGATTCCAACAAGAGGCCGTGGCATCTGGTCACGGAAGTGATTGATCATCAGAAGTAAATCTCGGGCAGAATCTATCCACGAACCTAGGTACGGGATTTAGTACGGCTGTGGGTGCTTTCTAGCGACGAATGACTTACAGTCAAGGCTGATCTTGTCTTCATTCAGGACACCACTCATGCCCATGTTTGGGGCATCCGCTATCCATACGCTTCGGATATGAACACCATTTTGTTTTAAACGGCGATAGATTTCATCCCACAGGGGCTCATAGAGTTCCTACTTGTGACGTTAGTATTAAAGCACATGCTCCCAGCCCGCGCGGTTACCAATATTTAAGTTGATCCAAGGCTACGGAGCTCGCATTCCTCCAATACTATAATTCGATCTGGTTAGCCTTACCTTGGGGTACCCACAAGCATGAGCCGCGATCACAGTGATGGCATCGGAAGGGATGCTATGGTTTTGTTCCAGCGGCGTGTATTGCTTGACATGCAATGACAAGACCTCTTCCTGACTTCTAGCAGTGCTTCCAGCATATTCCCGGATATGGCCTGCCGGCGCAGTATGTTCCGTGACTTTGAAGATATCCGTGGACATTACGAAGCCTTGTAGATCTGTGTGTGTTTGCTGAGGTGCAATCAGAGAAGATACAGAAGGACCTAAGCATGTTCCCAACAGCTGCGTTGACTCCGGACTTGCTACGACAGTGAAATGACATATCACATTAAAGATCAGATCAGGAATGATAAGGATCTACATAGCCGCGCACACCGCTATGTTTGAAATATGCTGTGATAAGTAATTGGTTGGATACTCTACTAAGGACATGATGCCGCCGTATTGAGAAGTGATATCTCAAAATGTGTCGCATAGTTGGAACCTTTGTTCGGTTTTCGATGGAAATTTGATCTATATTCTATGTACATACTGTAGAATATTTCGACTTGAAGATCTTTTTGCAGATCTGAGCTTAAAATACAGCTGGGAGATCGGCGACCAGAAGAGTTCATCCTGGAGTTATTTCATTACAGCTATGCAAGGGGTACAATTGCGTGGCTCTGGCTTCAGTCGAGATTCCGTGAGACCCAAATAACGATAAAGCAAAGCATGAAGCCGCTGCATACCGGGTTTGGATTCAAGGATAGTGATGTTAAGAAGAGAACACTTAAAATAGCAAACTGCTACCCTTTTCAAGAAGATAGTAGACGCTAGTGATCAGATAGATGTTATTTATTTCAAGGAGCCTGAGTAGCGTAAAATATATATCCCAGCATTCCGAGAAAGAGGCCGTAAAAGATGACCAGGATGAGTTAGAGGTCCCGTGATCAACACCCACCTTCCCATGTTGGCTTAGCTGATACTCGCCTATTTAGGACTAGTCGCTACTCGCAACGATGATTGATAGGTCCCCTTCCGCTCCTTTAATGGCCTTCAAAAATGCTTGGATGATGGTGCCAAATGTCAAACTTCCACCTGCATACGGCAAAATGCTTGGAGGCTCTTGTTTGCATCACAGGAACGCTTTTAAACACATTAACTTTGGTAGAATCGCCAAATTTCCAATATTCCCATGCACGCAGCGGAGTAGACCGCTACTACTACTCCAGCCCTGGAGGGACAGGCAGAATCATCGGCTGGGGATAGGCATTAGCACCAGATTATCCTTCAATCTTCTTTGGTTCTGATGGATTCTAGAACAATACTCCATGATATGAGCAGGAGGGTACCGCGGTTTCACCACGTCGCTCGCTCCACAAATCTTTCAAAGGTACAGGACGAAGACCAAAAGACATCCATGACATATCATGCAGTGGCTAACAAGTCCGGTACTGTAACATTATAATGGCACTGTGGTACATTAAGGAACAAGTCCTCGCCCTTGGTTAATCTCCCGGCAATGCTGCATTGCCAATGCAATTAAAATTAATCACCACTGCCAAGCACAACTAAAACCCCAACAATACTATTGTATGACCTAATGGCTACATGGAGCTAATACGATGCATCCATTCATTGGTCCGGAGACCAGTAAATTCTGCAGGACCCCGCGAATTACCGATATCTGGCTTTTGTTAACTTTCTCTTCTCAGAAGCCGGATTGGTTCTATACGGAGCGCTTCGCTGCATTGTCCATCACAAGTCGAAGTATACATCGGCGGCAATGGCCATGAGAGGGCATATCACTACTTTTCCTAGATGGCTTCAAACTACTGAACTGTTACCGTTACTTCACATCATGTACCCTTCATGGGTCTGAAGAATGTCAGGTATGGTGGATTAACTAAGAGTCTCACGCTGTGCACCGTCGGAGGATGGCGGCTAGGTAATGAAACGCCCCAACCAAAACAGTTAAGATCGCCGACAAAATATGCCCGTCATTGCTACTCTATAGCCATTTCATTTCATTCACCGTAGAGCCATATCGGCGCTAAGTGGGGGATATGTGGCATGAGTATGATTCAAAGGCGATCGGACCCCGGCTGATTCTGTGACAGTATATTGCATATCCACTTGAATCCTCCGATAACTTAGATCATAGCAGTGAATGCACTCTCTTCGAAGGGAATATCGAAACCGAACAATGTAACTCGAGTTGAATGCAACATGACAGGTCCATATGGCGCCGTTGACACTTCACGATAAATTCAGCTGAGCAAAGTCTCATCGTGGAACGAAAAGTATAAATATGGCCTGCAGGACGGCCATCGACTCGGAGACGGCAGCATCATCATCATCATCATCATCATCACAACACCATAAACGCAGCTACTGCCCTCGTGTATAAAAAACCCGCAAGAACAACCATGCACTTCAACTCCATCTTTAGCGCCCTTCTGTCCTGTGGCCTCGCAGCAGCACACATGCAGATGAGCTGGCCTTATCCCATGCGCAGTCCACTTGACCCTCAGAACAAAGGGTCCGACAAGGACTATGACATGAGCAACCCCCTTGACCAGTCCGGTATGGCGTTCTCCTAACTTCGATATGCATAAGACTGGAATGCTTACATGACTTAGGCTCCAATTTTCCTTGCAAGGGCTATCACAAGAACACCCCCTGGCGCGCAACCGCGGAATACAAGGCTGGCGAGTCATATAACATGACAGTTGCCGGCGCTGCAACACACAGTGGAGGATCCTGCCAGCTGTCCCTGAGTTACGACGAAGGAAAAACCTTCAAAGTCATCAAGTCCATGGTGGGTGGATGCCCGCTCGATTTCAAGTATGACTTTACGATGCCGAGCGATGTGGTCAACGGCCATGCTCTGTTTGCTTGGTCTTGGTTTAACCTGGTGGGCAATCGTGAGATGTACATGAACTGTGCGAATGTTGAGATCAGTGGGGGAAGCGGCAGCAACGAATCGTTTGGAAACAATTATCCGGATATGTTCGTGGCCAATGTTGGAAATGGCTGTTCTACTGTAGAAGGGAAGCACACAGTGTTTGCCCATCCGGGAAAGCAGGTTACCTATGCGGGTGGTCTTGATGCGTCCTCGCCTCCATTCCCCAAATGCTCTTGAAATCACAACCAATGGATGTTACACACTTTTGTACGTGATACACACTGTGAGTATCAGCAAGGCGGGACCATACTGGACTATGGCTGTGAAGTGAAATAAGGACCAGTTGATCTGAACATACATGGTACAATTATGCTCACATAAACTCCGATTTTTGTATTGCTACATATCTGAGTGAAGTAGTGGTATATTATTGAGAGCCTGTAGATCCCGTGAGTGACAGAACAGTGGATGTAGTTATAATTGGCTAGGTAGTAAAAAGATCCGAGAGCTACGCGCCTCCTCAACCGACACACCAATCATGAATCGATCGTATTTTGACAACTTAAGTTCATATACTTACTAGTAGTACTAAGTAGGTATAGTAGTAGTAGGCCGGACGCAGTTGCGGCGTTGGCGACAACTCATTGTCCAGATACGGTGTCATGTGATAGGACGTGACTGGACCCTTTCGCCGAGAACAACCGCTTACGGCCGGCTGGGGGCGGACGTGAATACCGATTAAGTAAAATGGATCTCCATCCCCGCAAACCAAGATAAGCATATATAAACCTTCCAGAACCTCATTATCATCTTTAGAATCTTACACTTCCTCGACCATTCCCTTTATATATAGTTACGTACTTCGATCCCCCCCCCCCCCCCCTCCTCACCCAACAATATAGCGCTACAATGACCCAAAATTCGACCTCCAAGGGAACGATAAAGGTTGCGGACTATCTGTTCGCCCGACTCTGCCAGCTCGGCATCCAGTCTATTTTTGGGGTTCCGGGGGACTACAACCTTAGACTACTGGATTTCGTGGAGCCATCCGGGTTGCACTGGGTTGGGACCTGCAACGAGCTGAACGGCGCATACGCTGCGGATGGATATGCTAGGATCAACGGCTTGGGAGCTCTGATCACCACGTTTGGTGTCGGTGAGCTCTCCGCCATCAACGGAATCGCAGGCGCGTATGCAGAAAAGGCTCCTGTCATCCACATTGTCGGTACACCCTCGCGTGCGTTGCAGGATGCCCGCACCTTAGTCCACCATACTTTCGCCGATGGTGAATATAACCGATTTGCCACAATGCACGCCCAGGTCACAGTTGCTCAAGCGAACCTCATTGACCCTCGCACAGCGGCAGAGCAGATCGATTGGGCACTACAGCAGTGCCTAGTCCATAGCCGACCGGTCTACATCCAAGTTCCGGATGATATGGTTGACGTCATGATCTCGGCGTCAAATCTTGAAACAAAGAAGATCGAATTACCTGCCACCCCGAGCCCCAAGAACGAGACGTCGGTATTGACAACCGTGTTGGAGCGCATTTACTCTGCTAAGCGCCCGTTGATTTTCGTTGATGGAGAGAGCAGGGCTCTGAATATCCTTCCTCAGGTTGATGAATTAATTAAAACCACCAAATGGCCGACGTGGACATCAGCCTACGGAAAAGGTCTGGTCAATGAGCAATTAGATAATGTGTATGGTTTCTATGGTGCAAACTACGGTACCGAGCAAGAAAAAGCATACTTTGACTCTGCCGATTTAATCCTTGTACTCGGGCCTCACTACAGCAATACTAATACGCTAGGCTTTGCCACAATCCCCAAACAAGAAGTATCTATCTCTTTTTCGGGCACGACTATTCAGATTGGAAAAGACCTTCACCGCGATTACTCAATCAAAGAATTCCTCACTCAGTTGTTGGAGAGCCTAGACCACAGTCTCATCCCCAAACTTGATGGAGTACCCCCCAAGCTCAAGGGAGACCTAAGCCATATCAACAAGTCCGATCTCATCACACAAGATGACTTCTACCGTTTTGTCGACCGACTCTTCCGCGAGGGAGATATCGTGGCTACGGAAACGGGGACAGCCTCTTATGGTGGGCGCACATTTGCACTGCCCCCTAATACACGAATGTTTTGTGCAGTGACATGGCTATCGATCGGGTACATGCTTCCGGCCTGTTTCGGGGCTGCTCTCGCACAGCAAGAAACGAACAATTTCAAGCCTTCCAATGGTACCGGCACTGGTAAAGGTCGTCTGTTCCTATTTATTGGAGATGGCAGTCTACAGATGACAGTACAGGAGATAAGCTCGATTATTCGAGAGAACCTTGATGTGACCATTTTCGTTATAAATAATGCCGGATATACTATTGAACGGGCAATTCATGGGCGAAATCAGGCATACAACGATATTGCCCCATGGAGACATCTGCAAGCGCTTAGCTTCTTTGGCGGCAGTGAAGAAGACGCCGCGAAGAACAATTTCAGCGCAAGAACCTTTGGTGAATTAGAAGAAGTGCTACAGTCAGACCAGATCCAGAAGGGCAGTGGGCTTAGAATTGTTGAGGTTCACATGGGTCGGGAAGACTGTCAAGGTCTCCTGAGAACCCTTATGAACAATCAGATCGCACAAGACGCAAAGCAATAAGTCATACTAGGGAGTTACTCAGTAGATTATTAGCTACTAGATTAGACTAGAATCTGTTCGAAAATCTTACCTGATCTGAGGTTCATGACATCATGCATGGTAATAATCAGTTTTTGTAATCTTTTACTTTACACAGTATGCACAGTATATATTTAAAATCTTAATAATCTCTTACTCACTTGCAGGGTCCTTGGCTTCACTTGTGTCTATGCCCATACGTCTGATATGACCTGGCACCCAGTCACTTATGTAAGAGGCGGAGAATTGGGATTTTATCCCATGACACGTTCCCATAGACCGGCGCATAAAAGATTTCCAATATTTGTATCTCATCCTCTCTGTGTAAGTTGCAAGAACTGCCTTTGAGGTTCGGCCATTTCCAAAAAATAGCGCCCAACCACCATTGCTATCCCTGATGCGTTCAGGATCTCTCCAAGTCTGTAGTGACAGTCTAGAAGGGTAGAGTTAGGGAGATTCAGGTCTTGCATATTATCTGCTTTCTTCAATTTAATGCTCTAAGAAAGCAGTTGTCTGTCTGATCTTGGATAACTCTCGAAGGGCCTTTACTTCATAGTTTGTTGTTGCCCTAATTGCACATCTCTCTGTGAGTAAATCTGAATTATAGTATATACACTGGGCTATTAGCTACTCACAGTGGATGTGAGAGTGATATTGGATTTCCCAAATTCAAGGTGAGCAGACTGTTGCAGTTTTATCCCATCAGAAAGATTGTTGGTTGCACTGATTTGGAGTCCCGCTTGTCGGACACCAGGAAAGCAACACCAAAGTACTTCTCAAGCGCTTGACAGTCATGGGAGGGATTCTAATTTTTATTAGTATATAGATATCCATAGACCGAGAGCATATTACCGATGACTTGTACCATGATGTATAAGAGATTGGAATAATATATGCGCCTTTAGTAGGTCAGGAATAGACGGATATTATCTAAACAGCCAAGCTTCTCCCTGTAGTCAGTATCTATCTAACTGGCTATAACGCAATACTTGTGATTATGCCGGAGACAGAGGTCCTGGAAGAGTGCCCAGTTATAAGTTCCTGGCTGGTCAAGTGATATCTACAGTAGGATATAACTATTCCATGACAGATATTAGTAGTTATTTGTAGCGAGCTTTCACTCTTCCTTAAAGATTAAATAGTCAAGTCTGTTACCTTACTATTATCCCCTAAGCTTACCAGGCACTGCAAGCCTAGCGGATGAATTGTGAAAGTAAAAGTCCTTGTCCGTAGTTGCACGCATAGCAAGGGCGTGGGAGGAATGGCGCTATACTGGGATAGGGAATCATCCTTCTCAGTACTGACAACCGAAATTCTGACCATATATATATGGTCATTTCGACACTAAACTTATGAAAGGGCCGAGGGAGAAGCTGAATCATTCAATCTGCCTGCTATCTTACTCATTAAGGGAATGGCAAGAAAAAGGGAACAGGTCTGGTCGAAAACGCATCGCGATCAAAAGCGGTAAGTGAGGCGGTCAGCATTTCTGCCAACCAGTACCTGATTTTCGTTTCAATGACATCATGGGTATAAGAAACTAACCACAGTGGCTGATAGTATGTGGCTTCTGGCTCCGGACCAACGTTAATCCAGAGATTTCCCATAGCCGACAAAACAGCAAAGGTCCAGCAGGTCCACAAAATCCGGCAGACAGAGACATTATAGGCCGTTCACGATGTAACAGGAACCGAGTCCACTTTCACAAGAATCCCCTACGTCATGGTCCAGACTTTTATTCTGCGATCCGGTTTGGGGTCGCCACAGCCATGAAGGAAACTACTTATTGCGGGCATCTCAGCCGGCCCTGGTTCCACCAATTGTCGCAATTCACATATCACCGCTGGAGTCCTCTTTGAGTCAAGCGCAAGTTCACCATGGCCAACCCAACGAGAAAGATTGTCTGCTTTTCAGGTACATTGAGTCCTTTTCCCCTTGTGTTATGGCGTGCGCTAATCCCTTTTAGACTTTGACGGAACGATTTTCATGCAAGACACGGGCCACGTCCTCTTCGATAACCTGGGGTGTGGCGAGAAGCGCCGTCAGATGCTCGATGAGCAGATCAAGTCCGGTGAACGATCCTTCCGGGAAGTCTCCGAGGAGATGTGGGGGTCGTTGCGGGTTCCATTTGAAGATGGGTTTGAAGTTATGAAAAAGGAACTGGAGATTGATCAGGGCTTTAAGGAATTTCACCAATTCTGCATTGACAACGGGATCATTTTCAATGTCATCAGTGCTGGCTTGAAGCCCATTTTGCGGAAAGTGCTGGACGCTTTCTTAGGCCAGGATGAAGTATGCTCGGCACCCGATCGTTATTAGTTCATCGACCGTGAATATTAATTTTCTCGCAGTCATCACAAATTGGCATTGTCGCAAACGATGCACAGATCAAACCCGACGGTTCGGAGTGGAAACCGATCTGGCGGCACGAAACCGAACTCGGCCACGACAAGGCCCTTTCCGTGAAGGAAGGCCGTGCGCAGGCCGAAGAATTGAGCGATGAGAACGAGGTCCCCCTCATTATATTCATCGGCGATGGAGTCTCCGATCTGGCAGCCGCCCGGGAAGCCGATGTGCTTTTTGCCCGGAAGGGACTCCGATTGGAGGAATACTGCATTGAGCACAGTATCCCCTACATCGGCTTTGACAGCTTCACCGACGTGAAGAAAGAGGTGGAGAAGATTATGAAGGAGGATCAAGAGAAGACTGGCGGCGTGGGTAAACCGGCTCGGTTTAACCCCCGCGCAAACATGTGGAGACGGGTCTCTAGCAAGCAAGCAGTACGTTGCAACTTGCCGATAATACCAGCGATCTAAAGCATTTACTGACCGTCTGATTGCAGGTCCCTAAGTTTGTCGCCGCGACCCCGTCAAAGGAAGAGAAGATGTTCCTTTGGCCGGAGAATTTCTCCCAGTACCAACCTAAGCCTGTTCCGGAAAACATGGCTTCTTAGAGCGCGCTTTCAACCCAACCTGCATAACGTGATGTATGCAGTATAGATATAGATACAGTTGAGGGGCCAGGAAGGGTTATGACCCCATTCATTTCAGGCGCAGTGTACATAGGAAAGGATTACGTTTAATAATGTTCAACTAAGCGACGTAGAAATTACTTCCCAGGAAACCGAAAGTTATGGTTTAGGTTTACACCGAAAGTTTCAACCAGTGTTAACTTCATACAAACAAGGACTCTGGGGGTGACCAGAACCGAGAAGAATGCCCAATGCAGATTAGCGCTTACCATCCACCAGCGCAACACAGCCCCCGAGATCCACACGCTAAGACTGAAGAACGAGGCTTATGTTGGATCCCTGCCCCCCAATGGCCATCCTCCTTATCCCCGACGAGTTGGTTTCCTCATTCGGTAACCGTTAAGTTATCGAGAGTGAGATGGGTTATAAAAGCTGCAAGGCAGCTGTGACCTCTCTGTTCTAACCATCACATTCTATTCACACCGTAAAGCTTGTCATCTCTACGACCCATTTGCATAGGAAATAACCATCATGCTTCGGGGGAAAGCTATCAAAGGCGTGGCAGCTGGGATTGGTCTCGCATCAGAAAGTATTTCAGCATACAAGGCAAACAGGCGCGAGAAGAAGGCCCAAAGCCCCGGTGACCCAGAGAGTAACAATGCGAACACAACGACAACGGACGACGACCTCGCTCGCCATGAACAAGTAGTTGAGGAGCAACATGAAGAAGAGTGGGAACTTGACGAAATACAAGACGAATTGAACGGCACTCCAGAGGCAGACAAAGCCGTCACAAATCAAACGCCTGAACAGCTAGCTGAGTCGTTTCTCCAAAAATATCCACAGCCACCACCATATACGCCAACGTCCAATCCAAGACTCCCATATCCGGTGGTTCTTCCACAGCGACGGCCCAAATCGCGGAAGCGAGGGTTCATCAGAGCGTATGCTCCTGCGCTGGAAGAATTCGGCATTGACCAGGCCATGTTCCTTGACTTCTTGGAAACGTCCAATCGTGCCTGTCAGGCGACTCCGTGGTTACATGCGATCAACCTGGCAGGAATCGGCACTATGTTTTTGCCTAGTGCGATTGGAATGGCGGTTAGTGTAGCAATCCAGCTGACAACTGATGTTGCGATAGCAATGGACGCAAGAAGAAAGTATGTATTCTGTCTATCATACTGGCATGAAATGGGAATGTTGCTAACAGAGTGCAGGACAAATTCATATTTTGACAAAATCAACGAAGAGATGTTCCGCCCTCGTGGTCTCTACTGTCTCCTCATGACATGGAAGCCAGAATCCTCATCAACGGTCGCCAGCTTTGATCTTAATTCAACAGTTGCTACGTCACTTGACCGCGGTGGGTCAGGGACGTTCAATAAAATGAAACACATGTTCAAATCGTCGCACGGCAACACTTACGGGGATATGCCATTCCCAGAAACCGCCCCTCTCATCTTCCCCGATCTCGACGAATTGGCTGCACAGGGTGCTGATGGCGAGGCCAAAATAAAGAGAGCGAAGTCGTCGCGCCGAGAGTTTGTAGCAGATTATCTGGATCGGAGGTCACGGGCTGAATTTGTAGGTTCATCCCATGATAATCTACGACGCGCTCTGACAATAATACCAGGAAATGGAACATCCCGACAATGCTTTGAATAAAGCACCAAAGCCTCAATTCACTTCTCGCTATGCTGATCCAAGTCATCCAGCTAGTAGTGGATCAGGTCTTGGACTAATTACTGGCGGATATATTACCGGTGATCAACTAAGGGACCTTCGGGGCGGTCGGCGACGAGGCAGGCTAGGCCGCGGCCAGGAATATGAACCACGGGGTATACGAGAGCGTCCCATTGGGCCCGTGGGAGCTCTAGCAGCTACTGTACGCTCTGTTAGAACTGGGCGGTCGTCGGTTGAGCCTCACCAGGATTCTGGGGAAGGACCTCACGATGAAGAATCTCGCAGACGATCTGGCGGCCGTGTAGGTACTCGTAACCCGCGTGAGCGGCTGCAAAACCGAGGGGGTCCCATTGGCGGTATACAGAAGTTTCTGAAGAGTGTAAGTTCTTGGGCTCCATCTCACAGGTACCATTGCTAATGCCGACATTAGAACGTTCTGTACATGATGATCGTCAACCTACCGACAGAAGAGGAGATGGCGCAGGCCCGAGCCGCCTTGCGGTCGTAGGGGGTATATGAGAAATATTGTTCTTGGGTAGCCACAGGAACGTGATAAAATTTTAATATAGTTTAGTATAATAGGTTCAGCATATGGCAAATGTCGATGTCTCCATCAGATAAGATTTCCATCCCACGGCAATACGCCATCTCCCGCCCAAGTGAACTCGCAAGCCCTAACGCTCCAACTCAGACAAAAAATCTTACGGGCCTAGTATAATGCAGGATTAAATCGTATACACTCCAATATGCTAAGCCACGCTGGATTGGCCAGATCGTTTATGAATCTTGCTAGCGATTCCGCCCCCACTTCCTGCCTAGTCGAGGGCCAGGCTTATAAATCCTTATAAATACCTTGCCATAATCATCACCATGAACCTCATATGCCATTCATACTCACTCACAACATACCAACCCTACTCCAAACCAACTGAACTACCTCCCTAACCCAACAACCAGACCAAAATATAACCAAACCAAACTCATAAAAATGGTTTTCAAAGCCCTCCTATACATAACCCGCAAACCCGGCACCACCCCCACCGAATTCCAAACCCACTACGAAACAGTGCACATGCCACTGATCAAAAGACTAGCAGGCGCAGACTTCCCTCTCTCGCACAGGCGTCTCTATCTTGCACGCCCCGCACCGGGCGAAGACAACAGTTTCCCGGCAACGGTGCTGATTGGCTCCCAGGACGATTTCGGCTTCGATGCCATTGTGGAGTTGACATTTACGGATGAGGCAGCGTTTAAGGTGTTCTTTGCGAGGAGACAGGAGCCTGGGACTAAGGAATTGGTGGATGCTGATGAGGAGAAGTTTTTGGATCAGACGAAGTTCAAGGCGGTTGTTTTGGGGGCGGTTCAGGAGACGACTAGTTAGTTACTGATGCATCGAATCTGTTTCTATATGTGAAGATATTTGAGGGTTATCAAAATGGCTATATTAGTATGAGGGATATAAGTGACATAAGGGCACAGGTGCGGAATCAGCCTTGTCCGTTGGAAAGCCGATAACCAAAGCTAGTGATGGCACTTTAGTTAGTCGTACTAGTGCGAGAGCACCATCTTAGCGCCGTTGGTGTTTTAGGGTCCAGTTACTAATTAATATACATATAGCGCCGTTGGTTTGTTTACCCAAATGGCCCCCACCTTCATTTTCTGATTTCTCTCCCTGAAAATTTCCAACGATTCAGTCGTGTCATGAGATATCTTCATGCTGGTTACAGTTGGGTGCTAGCACCAAGCTCATCTCCACACAAACGGAAACATTTGTCTCCAGAGAAGTTAAACTCCCAAGATCTGCGAGTAGTTATAGAGTTGCAAGGGACCACGCACAGATGATTCGTAGGGATACGCAAGGAGTGTTACGAGATTTGTGGTTGCAGGTTGCTGCGGAAGAATAGAAGATAACGTCACAAATCCTCTGTGGAGAAAGAAAGTTAGTAGCTCAGCTGGTACACTATATACTAATGCTATACGGATACGTATGGAATACGAAAAATGTCTGTACAGTAGTGGGTTTGAAAGAGGGATCACCGCATTAAGGGATGTTAGGTGACAGTCAAGCAGACAAGGGTCATAAATCATTGAATATGTCCGGTATGTTTGAGCCAAACCAAAGCTTCCCTAGCTGTGGCTAGTATGAATGGTCCGGTAATTCCGAACGCCATTCGGTGACCTGGCTTCCAGGCAATTCTTTCGGTGGTTGCGGGGCAGGGGGCTGGGTCCATGGTTGTTGCATCTGCGCAAATGTTGGTTCCATAGGCGGAATTGCCCTCCTTCGCGACCGAGACTGGCGATATTTAAGATAAGTGAGCACCGCAAGCAGCGCAATAGCTGGAACCCCAATGCCAACACCAACACCAAGTCCTACTTTAGCAGATGGATCGAGGCCGGACTTAGAGGACGAGGATGCTTGGGAGGTCTCGGTCGGAGCAGATGATGTGGTGCTTGTTGTTGATGAGCTTGTTGACATCGGTTCGGATGTAGAAGTTGCTGTAAATGAAGTCGAAGTACTCGAGGCACGTGGTTTGTCGGTTATATTGAAGTAATTCGATGTGAGTCTGAATCCGGGGCTTGTGGGATTGGCGTTTATCCAGAAAAAGAAGATTGGTGAGTCTTCAATGCTAGCGCCGTATGTCTGTACCTTCCAGGTAAAATTTGTGACCCCAATGTCCTCAATCTGGGCTTCATAGTTCCGTCTTCAAGTCAGTGTGATTCACTTCCCCTGGGAGGATAACCATGAACAGGACATAGACACGTACTATAGATATTACCCACGCTAACTGCTGTTTGCTTGCCAAGAGACTGATGCCAGAGAGATATGTTGAACGTCGTCCAGGTAGTCATCCAGGAGACCACCTGCTCCTCCCCAAGGACCCAGACGGGATTTTCAGCCGAATTGGCGGCCGGCGGATTGATGAATCTGTTATTGCTTGTCCCATCTCCCTGTGCGATAACTATCTCTGCTCCGCATAGGAAAATTATCAGGCATATGCGCAACAGCGCGCTGGGGAGCCTGCGACCGTTCATGGTAAATCACAGGGGCGGAGAGAGTGAGAAGGAAGAATAGTTCTGGTGCAGACCCGGTGAGAGAGGGATTTGGATCCCTAGGCGCTTAGAGCCTTGTCGGCTCGCAGGAGTAATCTCCGCACCCGTGCGGTGTTTTTGGGAATAACCGCCCAAAACTAGCAGCTGCAGGGTGACTGCATTAGTGGTGTTGGAGAATGGCTTAGTAGAGACTCGAAGGTCAACCTAGGGCTCGCATGATTGGTGATCATTGGCTACTAAAGGGATGGCCAAGCCTCCGGCCTACGGGCTAATCCGCGCAAGCGCTCACCGTCGAGAATGTTTTGTCAACCTGACCCTATCAGAAGAAGTTTCAAAAGACCCCTACATTTTAGTTGATGCACAAAAGATTAGCGACGTGTCGGATGCACTATGTATAGCCTTCTTGATCACAACGCCTTGGGAAGTCCGCTGCATTCCGCCAATCATGACACGCGTGCTGAACGTGATTGAGATAACCATGCTTTTTCTACGCAAAGATAAGGTAAGAGTGTTATGGAAAAGAGTCCCAGGAGGCGTGTTCTCTTCTTTCAGCATACGCTAAGTATTGTGTATTCATTATACTATACGTTGGTCCCCTCGGGTTCTTATCCCCAACCAACCTTCGTCGCTATAGGGATGCAGTGCTATTGATCTCCAGACTCCTTCCTATAATCTCTAGAGATAGAGCGATGCACCTCAGCCATCCATGCTAGCTAGCAATACCGACTTAGCCCCACATCGTGCTGAGTACCCCCACTCGCAAGTATTAAAGAAAGGGCCACAGAAGCTTTTCGGCCCCAAAATGAGTGACCGCTGATCGCATATCCAAGAGCACATATTCCTTCTTCGGCTTAGTTCATCAAGCGAGTATTGTTAGCAGAGCCCATGGGTGGGTCTCGGTAGTAGAGTGGGATCATCCGACAACCAGATGAATTGAGCTATATATGTACATATCAAAATGAAGCTATGGCCTTTGCACATGCTGAGTTATGTGTTGATACTCCAATCCATGGCACCAGTCTCTATCCCGAACGTGAGCTCAAGATTAGATGGGTGACAAAATGCGCTGTGTCCTTTTGTGCCAGGAATTACAAACTCGCTGTCATCCGTGGCATTCCATCAATCCCTGTGTCAGAGCCAGACTGGGGAGAGTTGTTTAATGAAACGAGGCACACGAATTATTAGTAACAGTCAAATGCTTTTGCACTTCCCTCTATGCTGGAAGCCGAGCCGTGTTCCGCTGAGCGCAAACGCATCGATTCAAGCGCTATATTCCTCAGAGGTTATTAGTGACCCTGAATATGCAATCTGCTATTAACGCCACGAGTTACATTATATATACACCCATCGCATCACTGGCTTCTATGCACACAGAGACTGGGAATGGGTGCGGGGATCCATGGATTCAAATTGGACATTGCGCAGCGCATGGGACCCGGCCGCACTTGATAAATGGGAAGTTTCTACTGCCATGAGGGTAATAGATCTTGGTCTTGAGGAGGTGACTAAGAATATCGCTGCATCGTTAACTAGAGATATTCTCGAGAACAGCACTCACGCTGTTCACGGCAAGGTCTTTGTCACACACACAAGAGCATTGAACTATACTGGTTCTGGGCCCTGTTCCCAATCTTGCTGCTTACTTCTGGTGTTGTATTCTTTATTGTCACAGTATAGGCTACTCAAGTTGGAAAGACTGGGCTGTGGAAAGCATTTATTTTACCAGTGCTATACCATGGGATCGGACAGACCACATCGAATGCTTATAGTGACCTTACAACTATTAGTCACATGGGTGCTGTGTCCCAGTTGACCGAAGTCCAACTGCAGTCATCTGATTTGAGGGGAGGCATGGCATTACTGTGATTCAATTCGATCTAACGAGCAGGCTGTAAAGCTGTCATTCCATGAATGCCTAGTGTCTGACTGTCTGTTTGCAGGGCTGATAGCAGCGCGCTGGGCATCATGACGTGCGACCATCTTATTCTTCTGAATGCTATTCCGTGTACCATCCATATATTACCGCCCATAGTCTCGCCGTTGGGTGTTCAATTTACATAAGATCCATGCCAGCCCTGTTCACATGGTAGGGCGTGAAGGCATAGTAGCCCCAAGCTTGGCATGGGTTGGGAGGAGAATATACCGCGATCTGCACAATCTGCCGTGATAAAAGTTTCGAGATTCCATGATTCACCCAAGCGGCTGGTTATACCGGTCGGGCCATGACCACCATTTCCATGGTAATACCAGGTCCAAAGGCCGCGACAATCACTTTGTCTCGTCCAGATTCGGCTGTACCTTGTTCCTTTGCAAGCTCGTTAATAACGCTGATTACAGTGCTCGAGCTGGTGTTTCCCTTCAATCGGTAAACCTCATAGGTCTTTCGCAAATGGTGTTCCGTAATACCCAGGGCACTCTGCGCAAGGACGACGATACTGTAACCTCCTGGATGTAACGCCCAGTCATATGAAGAGGGATCAAAATTGGACTTGTCTGAACATAATGAGGGGGTAGATGATATGAGGTCGTGAAAGCCGGAAGGAAGCGCCGCGGAAGTCTGTCCAGGGACTTCCTTTGTGATCACTGGATGGTATCCTGCCTCTATCTTAGCTAACTTGCACTTTTTTGGTAGAACGACAGCATTAGTTGCGTACCGTGAGGGCGTATGTTGAACTGGATACTGGAAGAAGAATCCTCGAGAAGAGTTGTACGACAATTCAAAATATTCCAGAGAGGAGCTCGTTCAGAGGCTTCGGCGCAAATCCCATTGCTTAGCACCATAGCACCAGCGCCATCACCGAAGAGGGTCATTGCAACGTTTGCTTCTTGGGTTTTTACAATGTCCTCGAGCATTGAACGGAAAAATATCGTACAAATCTCGCATGCAACGACAAGTGCTCTTCCTGGCTTCCCTTGAAAGGTCGCTCCAAGAAGAAGTTCATTTGCCGTCCGCAGAGCGGCGGCACCACCTGCGCAGCCAACCCCATGGAGGAGAGTGCGTTGTACATGTTTCTGGAGACCTAGTCTTTCACAAATCATGTAGTCCAGTCCTGGGTTTGCTGTATTTGTACATGTAACCACGATGATATGGGTGACATCGTCCAAAGAGCCATTCCAGTCCGCAAGCGCTTTCCTTGCTGCCTCTTCTGCGATTGGGACACCATATTTTCTAAACAGCACATCACAGTCAGCAATATCTGGTAGCTTCGGGTCACTCCAGAAGGGGTCATCAAGCGGCACAGCGGTACGGCGGAGCTGTATTCTTGACTTTCCATTGATTCGCAATGTCTTGCGTGTGCTGGTTATTCAATATCAGTTCCCCAATCCCAACCAGTAGAACAACAAATTGCTCTTACCCTGGGTCGTTAGGATCATAGAATGCAGAAATTAGCTTTTCGAGTTCGTCAGATCGGAGCTCATGAGGAGGATAATGGGCGCCCGTTCCAACAACAGAGATAACACGCTTTGATACAAGGTCATCCTTATGGTTGCTGATCTCCGGCGGAGGAGTACCATGAAATATAGGCGCCATGATGTCCTGGTCTAGAAAGAGACCCCGGTATAAACAGTTGTAGAAACAAAGATTCTTCGAAATGAGATACGAACTAGGTTTCCTGGTGATATTTAAAGTCGCTGTAAGAGCTTTCTCGCGTCTTCTGAGTTAACTTTGCTTATCAAGTCGATCTAATTACTACATATGCAGCTGATCAGCGAGGAAACGGCAGTCCGGATCCGGACTGGGCCAACCATTAGGCGTCCAACAGGCATAAGAAAGAAGAAGAGTATATATACTTATACTGTAGAAGAGGACCCTGTTACCATTATCGAATATGCGATATTCCGTATTTGGTATTGGCTAGTAATATAGGCCTAAAATTAAACGGTTAAAACCGATGGGGAATGAAGGTTTGATTCTTCCATCTCGTGGAATACGTGGCTGAAATACTGTGCGAAGGTTTATATGACTAGTGGCTGGGCAGTCGGCTATCTGGTTAACTCATCACGTATATATGATCTAGGCCGCTTTAGTATCTAGCCTTGTTCTACGGATGATAAGGTATAAACTCTTATTTGCCTATAAGGACCAAAGCAGCCGCTACCAGCTACATCAACATGTATATCGTAGCACTGACACGACAGGACCTATCAACGACACGACGGAGGCGTATCACTGACATAATGGAAAGAGTATATAAGGATACTCGTTCATGTACTTTGTTGACTAATCTGTCCCCTTGGTTAGGTGTAGCTTCTCCCCATATAGCTGGTTTGCATCTAGCGCGCATAACTTTAATCACACTCAGAACAAGCACTAGACACCATATCAATCCTCGAAACACCACAGCAGATTACCCAAATAATCCGTGGGTTGTCAGTGTACGCTTTCTTCAGCTTTAACTCATTATCCCATCAGGCATGTCTTCTATAATCCGAACTACAGCTACTGCGTCCTGGTTCTAAGAATTTGCCTTAGGAGCCAATCTATGGTACTTGGCTAAATTGCTCTTCGCCTAATTCTGGAATGCGACACCACCAACTTCAACTTCAATCGCTTAGCCAAGAGCACGGGAAAGGCTAAACAGCCCCACCGCAATAGCCAAGGTTTCCTCGTTAGCAGAGGCCTGAAGTGCATAGCCGAGTGACGGGAAAAGGTATCTCAAGTCTAATCCCCGGACGACATACAGGACTATCCATGCAGTTATTGTAGTGCGGACTTTGACAGGGCAGAGAATGGCTATAGCAAAAGTAGTCAGAATATATCTAAGCCAAATGACTTATCGCTATTTTCCGGTTGTTGTAACCAAGAATCCAACCAATAACGCATATAGAGATATAATCATGGTCTCGGAGGAGAAGGCAGAGCCAGAAATAACAGGGCTATTTTCCTTCACTGATTCATAATGTAGCGGAAGATAGTGAAGAAGACACCATAGCACAACCCCTTGTAATATGCTCCTAAGAAAGGAGACTTTTGCAGTACGGGTCTGGGAGACAGCCGATGGGATGATGGAACGCGATATAATCCAATACTCAGAAGCTGCAAATCCAAGTAATCGTATAGCGCCAATCATGAGACGAACCCAGGTGCGCCATAATCCCCAGTCATACATGACACCATCCCGGGTCACAGGAATGAGAAATGATGAGAAACCTCTATTAAAAGATAGTCGTGCGAACATAATGGGTCCATTTCAGTTTGTGCTAGTTGCAGCAGGGAGCTTGAGGAAGAGAAATAAACACATAGTGCTAACGCTAATGAAGAGGAAATTAATGTATTATATCTAACGCTTGCGCACAGTTCTGGAAAACCCAGCGCTACTTTTGCTTTTACATGTTCTATGTTTTAGGTTTCTTAGCATCACATGGTTGCAGGGGAAGCCCTGAGTGGGAGAGAGAGCGATCTCTGATCCTCAAGAGTGGATTAAACTAGGTTGATAGTAAATGGATCCTCTCTCTTCCAGATAAAACAGAAAGTAAAATAAACGTAGAAAGTCTGTGAAATATCTAAGTTTCTGCTGCCTGGTGCATATCGGATCAGTCTCGTCGGGGTGCATTCAATATGAGCCAGGAAGTAGGTAGACATTAAATTAGATCTCGATCAGCACCGGGTGAGGGAAAGAGTGTTTACATTCTGTTATTATTTCAAGCATGGAATGGAAATCTCATTCCTATTCGACTCAAGCTAGTGAGTTGGATCGAAGTTAGCATTCTTCTCTGAACTATAAGATGTGGGTCCGTGGCATACCACAAGCGAAATATACAATCTCGAGGAAATAATTTCCATCTATACAGGTCCTTGACTCTCTAGCGAAACACAAATTTCTAACTGTAGCGGATTCCGCATGCGGATAAGCTGGAGGTACGACAACTATACCTGGAAGCATTTCATCACTAAGTACTATGGTGGTGCCTTAGTCCTTCCAGAGTTATGAAGCTGTGTTACATTATCGGAAGTAGCTGCTGTAATGATTCTTGCTTTATAAAAACAAAAGTTGGACAGTTCTTTCAACAAGAAGCATCATTGGTCTAGTGGTAGAATTCATCGTTGCCATCGATGAGGCCCGTGTTCGATTCACGGATGATGCACACCTTTTTTTTTTGCTTTTTCTTTTGTTACCCTATCTCGATCTCGCTTAGAATTGCACCCGAAAAATCTTCATTTATTTGTTTTTCTAACCCATTATCGGCCTTCATTATATTAAAGTCAAAATTATCACTGATTTTGCAGTGTCTGACTAACAGGCGCATGGTATACCTTCCGGGCATACAGAACATACTGCAAGATAGCAAAGATCGTGACTGCGCCCACCATCAAGACCGACCAATTCATAGTTCTGGGTGCCACATCTTTGGTTGTTGGGAAAAAGGTAAAGATGATTTGGAAAGCAAGGTAGAAGAGGGATACAACATTGATAGCTGGCCCATACGGGCCTAAAGAGAAGCGAGGACTAGTAGGCGATGTTCTTGACTGCCAGCGTGCTATAAGGAAACAGGCAATGGCGATCATATAGGTCGTCAACATAGATGCGATCGCCAACGAGGCAATCGCATTGAAAGCTGCCGTGGAGCCAACATTGATCAGCGTCAATAGAATGGTCACCAATGTTGAAGACAGCATAGACCAGACCGGGGTCTTAGATTTGGGATGGACATAGGCGAGGGTGCTCGAGAAAGGAAGTCCTTTGTCTCTGGCAAATGCGAAGATCTGACGTGAGGTGGTCGCCAGGATACCCAAAGCACTGCAGACCTCCATAACCAAGATAATGCACGCGAGGCCCACCGCCATATTGGTCGACCCGGTCGCATTGTGAAAAGCTGTGATGAATGGAAACCCGCTGGGCGCTTTTAACACCGAGTCTATGTCACCCATGGTGTAGAGGAGAGTAATGAGCATCACGAATCCAAGCGTGCCATTGACTACGGCAGTCGAGATCATACACCATGGAACAATCCTGGAAGCATCCTGGACCTCCTCCGCTAGCAAACGAACATGGTTAGTTGTGCATGATGCTATAACAAGACTGGGGATGAATGAATGCCTACCCATATGCGTCGCTGCATCTGGCCCCGTGAAAGAGAAAATCGGGGTCAGTTGGCCGACCAAACAAGCCAATCCAATATTCGGCCACCCTCCTGTGTTACTAAAAGTCTGAAAAACCTCAGTGCTGCTTGCTCTGTCGGCTTTAACCCACAAGGGGATCAACACCACGAAGAACCCAAAAATATGAATGAACAGTAAGAGACGCTCCAGACTGGCCAGCCAATGAGTACCCCACCCATTGAGGACGGTTGCTATAACCGCAATTGCAATCGCTAAAAGCGTCCCATGCCATCTCTCAAACGTATATCCATGGTGTGTGGTCGGGACAGAGCATATGGTGACCAACAAACCCTGAATCAAGGTCCCGACGAGAAAACATACACTGGCGAACGCTGCCTGCCAGCCCAGAACTGCGAGCCATCCTGATTACGTTACGCAAGGGTTAGTATAAATGGCTATCGTTTTTTTACGGTGATGGTAGCGCCATACCTGTGATATAACTTAAAAATCTTTGGCAGGAAGGAGGAGCGTACTCGCTAACCCAGTGATATTGACCTCCCGCCGTGGGAGCTCTCGATGCGATCTCTGCCAAGGATGCGACAGATGCGAAAAAACCGATAAAAGTTCCAATGTAAACATAAACCATCCCAGCTCGTCCGCCATTGATTAGACCGTAATTACTGGTGAGCAGAATGGACTCCCAGGTTGCCATTAACGTACAGTTGAACCCGAGGATAGAAACAAACCGGAAGTTTCTCTGAGGCATATAATCAGTCCAACCATCCGGTCTAGCACTGTATATATATATATGTTACAAAGGAAGGATGAGAGCCTCGTTTATAATACTAACCTTTAACTGTTGCGTCTTGCCCAGCCGTTGCATGTCCAGATTATCTTGTGCGGTGTTTGCCATAGAGAGCTTTTCTTTAGAGGCCGGCGGTTGAGCATCGCCGACCCTGACTTGTGACGCACATTTAGCTGAAGTGTCCATCGCTAGACAGCTTAAATAGCATTGTTTCAGAACATAAAATATCCAGGTGGATGGTGAGGCCCCGAAGCTGATAGCATTAACGTCGCGGGAAAGGGGGCATTACAACGTGGGTGAGACGCAAGGGGGGGAGTGGTTCTGACTCGGCAAAAGTAAACACAGCCTCAGCCTCGTCAATGTGGAGAACTTTGGAATATGCCTGGGATAACAACTGGAGTTACCCTGCAGTAATTATTGTGAAAATTCTGACAGATTGCGCGTCAATACTGCGAGGCCGCGTTTCTCGAACCCCCAGTCTGATATAACATAAACAAAGGCATATACGTGGTGATAGACAAGCTGTATATAGATATATATATGTAGGATGGAACAACACGAGTTTGAACCTTCCAGATAATTAGGGAATTTCCTTCCGAGTTTTACACGCACTGACCACATCGTATCTGACGCTTAACTCGCGACAAAAAGCTTAATCACCATAACCTCGGCTTAGAGAGTGAAA